CACAAAACAATCTATCTCTTTTTAATAAATTTTAAAATATTGTTAATTAAACTCTTTAATAAAATGTGTTTAATAGTTTATTAAACAATATTCATAATATTATTACTATTAAAATATCATTCATTTTTTGATTTTGATTAATGATACCTTATGATACCTTATTAATTAAAAATAATCATGAACACAATCATGAACTCAAAAATAAAACATTTATTATTAATATTGTTAATAAATTAAAAAAAATTATCTATTAAATAAAAAGCTTTTTTCAAGTGTATGAAAATTAAGTATGAAATTATGAAAATTAAGTATGAAAAAAAATACGCATATAGAGACGTAATTGGTCGACTGTTTTTTTTTTTGTTTTTAAAATTATTTTTAAAACAGGAAAAGCTAATTAAAAATTTGAAAACAATTTTAAGATAAAGTTCATGGTACCAATAATTATAAGAAATAATTAATTAAAACCCTTGCGTAAATATTTAAACAAAAGAAAGATCATATCATATTTCTTCACTCCTAGAAGTCGAATAGATAAACAAAAAAAAAGCATAATTAGCGACGAAATTTAAGGCATGAAAGAACATATTAATACAACTGAATTCTAACACAAAGATAATTGAAACAAGGCAATATATCCAAAGTTCAAAAAAATAACTTTTAAGCTTCCTAGAGGTCTTAAAAAATGTTCTTTATGCAACTTTTAATGAATTAAAAGTTGGGAAATCTTGTAACGAAATATAACGAAGATTATTATAGAATCTACTTTGCATTTTCAGAGAATGAACGCAGTGAAAAGAAGTTTGATGGTTGTAGATTCTGTTTATGTTTCCAATTTTGTTTTTGCTTTAATTAGTGAGGTACATTTTGAATTTATTTGAAGATAAAGATAATTAAAAAGCAGATAAAACAGTTAACATAAGAATAAAAGGAGATATGATATCCTTCTTTTTTCAATAAGACCTAAAGAGAAATCATTATTGCTTAATTCGGTATAAGTGTTTTGCTTTTATTAAAAATAAAATTTTTCTATTTTGTGGTCTGTAACTCAGTTATTAGAGGAATTTAATTAATTTTTAAGGTACAAGTTAATCATAGATTTTATTTTACTCTTTTAAATAGCAATGAATTATGCTTAAGATAATAAATATGGTTTCTACAGTGTATTTATATTAATAATTTAAGGAAATTATTTGATAACATTTCCATATTTTTAGAAAATTAACGAAATGTTTTGTACACATTTTACTTGATGACTTGATGACGCATAATAGCATGCCAATCTATGAATATTTTTTAAAATTATCGTAATTAATGTTCTATTTGAGATAAATATAAAACTTAAATGGTTTTAGAAAGATAAAAATGTATTCTTTCATTTAGTGCAAAAAATTTCGTGTTCTGTTTTAGTCTAACGGGCCTAAAATGTAGTTGTGTGATTTAGGTGGAATGGATTTAACAACCAGTTTAACGTTATCTTTAATCTTAATCTAATTATTCGCATTAATCTAATTAATCCTAATCCATGCATAGTTCATAATCTATTTATCTCCAAAGTACGTTTAATATAGAATTTGAAACACAAGATTGAAATTTCTCTTCGATTCACAGTCCTCTTATTACTTTTGCGAAATTTATTTTCAGCGTAATCCTATTCCTTAAATTTTATGCCTGAAATAAATTCAACTACTGTGAACATGACAAATTGAACATTTCAAAATTTGTTTGATATAGACAAGACTAAGTGAATTATGTTCCAATATGTAATAATAAAACCTTAAAATTTTGCACATTTTTTTAAGTGCAATTGCGTTTAGTTTGAAAAAAAAATATTTTTAGTTTGAATAAACTTCCCATATTTATAGTCTACATTGGTAGCTATTCCATTTGAATGTTTTTCCATGTAATCCCTGGGGCTAAGGAAAGATTGTGGTAGAAATTATTTTTCAGGTTTTCAATCTATAACTTAATATGAAGAAAAAAGAAATGAGTGCAAATGGATTTTCGAAATATTATTAGTTCTTTTGAAGTATCTTAGCATATTTACTTAGTACTTTTTTTGTATTTGAAGATTTTCCTTTTTTCTTGTCTAATACCAGCTCCATGCTTTAAAATATAAATAAATATAACTCTTTATTTATATATAAAAATATTTTTTCATGTTCATTGATATTTTAATGCATAAAATACACGCAATAAATATTTTTTTATTAAATTTATATTGAAGTGTGTTTCTAAATATATATTTACATATTGTCTTAAAGGTTTTATCAAGCAATATAAAGAACGTAAGTAAAATTATTTTAGCGAATTTTTTTCCCTTTAAGTTCCTTAGGGAGGGCGAAAGAAAATTTCTAAGCCAGCAATACTTTGTTCATAAATATAAGCTCTATTCACTCATTCCTTAATAAATATTACCTTTATTTAATAGAGTTTTTCAGTGCATAAAGTTCAAATTGTATTAAGTTTTCGTAATAAAAAATGAAGTTTTAATTGTTCCGAATAAATAAAAATATATTCTTTAACATTAAGTGCTGCGTTTGAATTCGTTAAATATGAAATATTTTTAACTTATTTTCAATGGAGTTATGAATCAGTATATAGATATTTTTCCGTTTGTATTACTTTAAAGGAAACTTTTTATGAACTCCATTGTAACTTTTATGTCTTAAAAAAATTCTTCTTAGCATTTTTATCCCTCATATTTGTCAATTTGAAATCAGCATAATATATTTTAGAAAATGAAGTTCTTGTTTTTTAATCATACTTAGAAAATTTTTTTCACTGATAGAAAATTATAATTTACTTGTCCTTTATGTAAAAAGTGCGAAGAATATACCATGCTTGAAAAAAATTAAAAAGAAACAAGTATATTAGTTTTTTTTAAGGAAATCGTTAAAATCAATAGTTTTAAATAATTATCAACATGTGATAAGAAAAACTGCTCAATGCACTTTGAGAAATAAATTTTTTCTGTATTAAAACTATTTTGTTTGAGCTACTTGTGTTATTATCGTAATTGCCATTTCAATCATTAATTATAGCTTCCTCATTTATTCATTGTTTCTCCTCTTAATTACATATTTTATTTCATTACCGAATGACACCAAACCTTATTTCTGAAAAATCTGAACTCACCAAAACTATCGATATACATGCAAATTAAAGGTTACTAATATATCAGTAAAAGAAACATGAAATAATGCAAATTAAAACATAACATGATAATATATTTTTTGTTAATTAATATTTTTCATAGTAAACTAATGTTTAGCATAGTAAACTTATGTTTAATCCCGTAAGCTAACGTTTTACTGCAGTAGTGTACGTTTAACTTCGAAAGATTACGTCTAACACAGTAAGCATAATTTAAAATACTAAAGTAGTTGGTATAGAATTTAAACTGTTTTTACTGATTGTTTTCTTGTTGATTAAGATATTTTTTTTAATTGCGGAATAATACTGCACATGCACTGAATAACACTGTTAACTTCCGAAAGTTTAAAGCATTCTAGCTTGAGGATAATTTATAATTAATTATTACGAACGTAAGAAACGCAATATCGTACAGATGGGCAAAATGGAATCGAAGGACAAATGGAAGTTATGCATTGTAAAACAATATAATTTTTCTTTATCAAATATCATTTTCGTTCATTAATGCTTCACATAAATTAATGTTTAGCTTAGTAAACTTACGCCCAACTTCGTAAGCTTACGACTAACACAGCAAGCATAATTTAACATAAAAATGTAATTGCTATGGAATTTTAATTGTTATTATTGACTATTTTCCCTTTCATTTAGCTATTTCATTAAATTTCTGAATAGCACTAAGTATAACACAGTAAACTCCTGATAGTTTACAACATTTTCGCTTGACGATAAAATACAATTATTTATTACATAGATAAGAAAAGGCAATTATAGGGTAATGGTGAACAAAATGGAGTAGTAGAACAAAACACAATTTTCGATAATTACGCTTAGCAGCTGTATTTCTTTGCCTATAGGTCGTGCATGCATAATGTGTTTAGTGTTCATTTTAAACTTAGTATAATACTAGCAGAGTCACATTCAGAAGATATATTACATTTTATTGTTCTAAACTGAAGTAAGCGTATTGTTTGGAGTTTAAAAATACGCTTACTTCATCACGCTTTCTTGTATATGTAGGATCGCATTTGTAAGGACCTTATTATGACAGTTAGCACTATTTAAAAGTTATGCTAGAAACATTGCATGAAAAAAGGAATGGAACATAATTAGTGGGACTTATATCGCTTTCCAACATATACTTTAAGGTATACTTCTACAATGCATACTTTTACAACACATAATCTTTTTTTTTTACGTATTCCTGAAAGAATTTGGAAATATATAAAATTATCCAAATATTTAAGTTAAAATTGGATTCTGTTTTCAGAAAATTTGTTGTCCTGTTTAAAGGGTCTCGAAATAAGAGTAATAAAATATTTTACTGTTATTGAAAATAAGATAAAATAAACAAAATTTATTCACGCTTTTCTAGACAACTGATTCAGTGCATTACTCTCAACCATTTTGTTTCTCATTTCGCAGAAGATTTTAACTAGCCATCTTTACTGCCAGTCCAGTTATTTATTCAGTTAAATACTTTTCTCGATAAAATAAAAGGAAGGATGCTACCTATCCCACCTGAGCATTTTCCCACACACATATTTCTTTATTCTAACTTTGTTTTGATTTGATATTATAATACAAATACAAATAATGCTTGTTACATGAGGGTACTAAGGTGTATGAGGGTACTAAGTGCCATGAAAATTATACCAAGTATTATTATAAGCAGGCTTCATCTGATAAAATTCTTGCATGTTTGATCACGGAGAAAAATTGTTTTGTAAAATTACCGCACTGCATGTTAACGACATTTCTTGTATAGAAAACCATTCCTCTCGCTAATAAAACCAAAGCATACAGTACAAATAAAACCAAAGCTATGAAGATAAAATCCAAGGATGCCATTTTATATTGGTGATGGTATAATATCAGGTGAGGTGGAGTTTGTATTTGGTATAGTGGGCCAGTTGAAGATAGTAATGAAAACAGAAGATGATGAATACAGAAGGGATGATGAAAACAGAAGAAGATGAAAAGAATACTTGAACTGGATCATATTTAATAAAAAGGCTTTTATTTTATGTATAGTATTTGTAGAGCTCGAGATACAAAACTAAATATTATCCATAAATTTCAGTTGAATCAATTTTACATAATAATATTAATATTAAAATAGGTCAGGCCATGGGAGACAATCCCCACGACCTGCCTAATCAAAAGCCAAATTAAAAAGTACATGTAAATTGTTCCCAGCGGACGCAGAAGCATTGGTAGGAGATCCAAAATTGGCGATTTATTAAAATATAGCATAGCCAAAACAAGGCCAACCAGCATATCAATATAGAGTTAAAATAATACCTTGGCGATCACGAGTCGCCAACAAATTTATGTGAATTATTACAACCATGCAACCGAAACATTTAGCCGTTGGAAAATTAGAATAAAAAGTTATAAATAGATTTTTGTTTTCGATTAAAGGCGACAGTGAATTAATATATGTCTGCATAATAATGAAATAAAAAGAAAGTATCCGTTACATTGATCTGGAAGAGAAGAAATAAATATTTTATGTTTGTTTTAAAAAGATTAAGTCTGTGATTTATTTTAAAAGTAATTCTATCAATAAAAAATCAGCTTAAGTAATGAAAGATATTTTAAAAGATAGAAAATAAATATGTGTATGCCAATTCTGGCATCACATATATCCCCGCTGAACACAGAAAAAAATATGTATATATAGTATATACATACATATTTTTTTTAATTTTTATTAATGGATCTCCCCCATGTCACAAAAAAAATTTTATGCATTGAAACATAATATAATCAAGGAACAAATATGAAATATACACTTATGTATAGTTACATTTTAAAGCAAAATTATTTTTCAAAAAAAATTTTAGACATACAGTTATACTTCAAAAATATATTTTCAATATTCATGTTATTAAATCTTATGTTGATGTAAAATTAGCTGGGCATTGTCATCACCTGGACAGGATATTCTAATTTCTCTCAAATTTGAGAAAACTTTATCAGCAACAAACAATATAATCTGCTAAATCATTTCATTTACCAAATATTTTTCATAGTCATTAATACTTTTCAACATTGACATACCTATACAATTCAAAATATTTAAACATATAAGTGCAATTTATCTTATCATATTCTATATTTCTTATTATAAGTTAATGAAATGTTTATTACTATCAAATATTCAAATAATTATAAGTGTCAATAAAAATTCTTTAGTTTATTATTAAAAACATACTGAGCAGAGCATATCCTTTAAAAAAATATGAGCTTTTATTTTAGCTCTAAATAAACAGTTGATCAGACTGTTATTTTATTTACCTAGGTTTAGTCATCCCTTTTTCATAAGGGGCAAAATTATCATCTCTTATATTTCAAGAGGCAAAATTATCATCTCTTATATTTCAAGAGGTAAAATCATCTCTATTATTTCAGAGGCAAAATTATCTAAAAATGCAGCATATATATCTATATTTTTTTTTTTTTTTTAACCTTTGAACTAACTAATATGATCTAAAAAGCATGTGATCAGGATTCCAACCTGAATCTTTGTGACACAATGTATTAACAATTATACTATCACAGCTATCTAGTATTAAATTCAAGGTAAAATAATTTTATAGTTTTTTTTTTTTTTTTTAACCCTATCAACTTCTGAATTAATGTTATAGCAAGCCTATGATCAGGATTCTAACCTGAATTTTTGCATACATGATGCATTGTATTATCATTTATACTATCATGGCTGTATATTATATTCAAGAAGATAAAAGTTATTGTTTTTTTTTTTTTTACTGCATATATAAAAATTCACTTCATTTTAATAAAGGAAAATATTATTATCATTTTATATATGAATGCTCAATTTTTCTTCTTTTGAATTTCATGATTTTATTTTTAGCTCAGTTGGACACTTATTTAATAAAAATTAAAATACTTAAAAATATTCGACAATAGCATTGTTCAAATCAATAGAATATTTTTTTTTTATATATATAATACAGTTTCTGAATTTATTTATGTTTTGATAAAACAAAATATTCGTGAGTAACTATTTGGATTAACCCTATTGAATATGCACTTGCATTGAATAAAATAGCTTGCTTTTGTAAGAGAAAAACTATTTGTGATAAATATAATAGCTATTGTAAAATAAAAAAATATTAGATGAATTATTTATTACTATGTTCATTTTATTAAAAAAAATATCTCTTTGTCACTTAATGAATTTTAATTAGCTGGGCCCTAGTAAAGAAAATCACCATAAATCATTCTGCACAGATGCCGTCATGCAAAACAACAGCAACAATGAGACAGTTAATGAAATTTTTGATTAAACAAACAAAATATAGAGGCTGAAATCTTTAATTTTCAAACACTCATACCAACCTAACTTCTAAAGGATTGGAATATCAGATTAATATGGTTTCATAAGATAACTAAAGTGTGTAATTGTGTGTTTATTATTTTACTTCTTAAAAAATCTGGGTGAAATTATGTTACACTACTATAAGTACTGATTAAGAATCACTTTGGGATAGCTTAATCCTTATAATACATTTTTATAACATGTTACTCCCTATTGTGTTTTTGTGTAGAGGTCAATATTCCATGTTTAAGTACAGTTATCTTATTTGAAAATTTCAACATTTCAAAAAAATAGATAGTTAATTATTGATATTTATGAGTACTTCAAAATAACTTAATTAGCTTGAAGCTAATTTAAATTGCAAAATTTAAGTGTGCATAAGGGTTTATAAAATATATCATTATTATTATCAGTATTATTTAAGATACATTTCTGGTTTAGTTTAATAACATTTGTAAAGAAACAACAATAATTTTAAATATGCACTTGAAATTTATATAAATAGTATATCAATTTATGGCAAACAGTATAAAATCAATTTCTTTTTATTGTAGTATTGCAATTCTTGATAATGATCAACCCAAAATATTAACGGTAACATAAATAATGTTAAAATGACCAATTAAATCATATAAAATTTAAATTCTTATTATGAACCAATATATGATATGAATATTTTAAGTTCTGTTATTCTTAATTAGATATCAAAATGTGATTGCAGAAATTAATCTTTGAAAATAAATTTATACATAAGTAGAATGACAAACACCTCACGATCCGTAAATATAATATACCTAAAGAAACTTCACATGCAAATCACACCTAACCAACACTATAATCATTTCTTGTTTTGCTTTGAAGAAATTGTCAGTTATATGAATACAAGAGTTGAAGAAATTTTTCAAATTAACAAAGTTTGCTCACTGGTAAAATCAGGTGCAAAAACACGAAAGCTCCCATAACATTCATAAAACAAAACGTAAGAAAGTCCGAAAACACTCTTTCTAATTTACCAAAAACATTTTCTTTGAAAACAAAAGTAGATTTGCATCATTCTGTTCAGACATTAAAATAGTTTAATTCAAGAGTTAGCAATTTAAATCTTAACTCAAATATCATTTTATAGAATAACAAACGTGAATAATAAAAAGCTCTTAAATGTTATTGCTATTCTTTAAAATCACTGAAAACATCGCTAATGTTCATTTTTAAAAAATGCAACACTCGAATAAAATATATAACACTCGATTTTTTTTTTTAAAGAAAATAAAATATGGAAAAATTTGATTTTACACTTCTTTTGTATATTAATTAATTAAATCCTTATCACTGAAATAAAAATATAAACCAAATTATTCAAATCCTGTGAAAATATATTAGTTTCAGAATTTAAGTTAATTCCAACAATAATTCAATTTTCAATAAATTCTTCAACTGTATAAACATCACCAAAAGGCTAGTAATAAAATCAAATATGCCGCTTAACTGGATAAATTACAAAATTTCAAGTTGTAATTAAATAAAATTAAAAATTTTCTATTATATTTTTAACTTCTAAAAAAAATTTTAAGTCAAATGCTCTATCAATTTGTCATACAAAAATTTTAAATTCAATTAAATGTTGTAAACATAAAATATAAATAATTGAAAGGATACGTAACGGATGACTGTTCGATGAAATCCTGATGAAAACGAAATCAAAAGCAAGACGAGAGTTGAAGGAAACACAAATTTAGTTTCTTCTTTATGATGAATCATAAATTAATAGATATTTCTTTCGAGTAGCGTAGGAGGGGGAATGTCGAACATCAGACGAAATCTTAGAGGAGTAATTTAGGTAGAGAGAACCAGTCCCCCATCCCTCGTTGCAAAGAACATCGTCACGTGATTCCTGGACGATTTTTCCTCCAGTAAACCCTCTCCCCATTCTTTTCCTATGGAGGTGAATTGATGAGCTGTGTTTTTAACTATAAAATTTAAAAAAAATGGTGGTATACTGCTGTGCATTTGGATGCCACGAAAAATTCATTAAAAGAGGACCTTTTACATTTCACAAGAAAGATTTTTATTCTTTTATATTCACTTATAAACATTTATTTTCTATTTATATGTTAGCACGTCAAGTTATGGAATGAATTTAATTGGTTTTTAACTAGCAAAATAGCAATTATTTTTTTATATTTTTATTTAAATTAATA